ATGTAAACACAGGTGACGTTAAGCTGCTTGCACAGGCAACATATAAGACTTTGTTTTCATATTTTAGACCAAAGTTACAAAGACTCCAACCTGATTCATATCTGTGTGCACAAACAAACAACCTCGGCAGACTGAGGGCCCTGGAAATAGAGCAGCACATCCTTTAAGGCTATATGTTCAGCACTTTAACAACATAGAAATAAACAAAAAACTGCTAAATGGTCCAACAGTCGCTTTTGTTGTACGTGAGCCTCTTGATTTCCCCAAACCAACTCTCTTGATGGCTCCTCGGCAACATGAAACATGACACGTCATCCATTATTCTGTACATGTGCCTTGCTATCTCAGCCCGCTCCATATGGCCTCTGTTGTCTCCAGACACCCAAATCCCTTTTCCTCAGGCCAGGGGCTGTTTTTGTGGGAACCATTACATTGCTCCTCTTCCTCAGAGGAATGGGGTGACGATGATGAGCAATCACAGCCAGAGCAGACTTTCTGCCTCAGATTCTGACAAGGATATTCAACAATTGACCGTATCCGCTTTGTTGGCCCAATTGCTAATTCATGCAAGTTGACAATCTGGAGGCAACAATTATGAGTGATGAAAGGCCTGAAAATAAGAGAGCACTTAAGGGGAAAGCAGAAAAACATGAAGTTTACTTCATGAGGGAGGGAGAGAGGGAGAGAGGGAGATTTTTAGAGTCATAGGACTGAAGATAAAAACATCCTCAGTCACTGATGAATCTACGGAACATCCTCTCTTCTCAAACCAAACACTCTGAAGAGACGAGTGCGTGACACGGAAAACGCCATTTGTGTAATGAAATGTGCACTAAAATAGTGTCTGTGTGAAGCCCTAATCATGTGAAGGCTAATGCAATAACGGCCCAGCTGGAAGGTCATCAGGTGTGCCAGGCCAAAGCATGTTGAGAAATATCCGAAAATGTGCATTCAAATCATGATTATTTATTTTAATCATCACTGTCTGGATTTATATAAGGCCTGGTTTTAATTCAAATTAAACTGCAGATTTGATTAAATAAAGAAAGGTTTAATTATCAATAACTTCTATTTCCCATGTCTTCTCTCCGTACTTCATTAAAGGATCAAATCTGATTTGATTGAATAACTTATTGTATTGTTCCGTCGCTTTCTCATATACAGAGCAACTATGATGCTATAACTGGCTGTGTGATCATCAGATTCATATCCTGAAATATTTTTCATTACAGTTGTTCTATTTAGATTCTTTCATTTTAATACGATGTAATATTTTATTTTCTAGGGACCTGTACTAAGTACCTATAACGTGGTCCCTTTCCTGTGCTTCTAACATCTTCTGAATTGACAGTTAACTTCCCTGAATCCTTGAATTCTTTTCAGTTTTTTCAAGTCCAACCATCATGCATCTTGATGAACATGAGGCCTGCAGTGACATTCATCTGCCGTGGATAAAGACGTGTAGAGAAGAGGTGGGGGTCAGGACAGGTTTGTGGGATTGATGCACACATTTTAAACATTCCTTGACGCTCAGAAAAGGCAGAAAATAAACCTTCAGAACATAAAGTAAACAGAGAGGGGAAATTCAGAGTGCGTCCTCACCCATCAAATGGACTCCTGACATGAAAGCCTCGCAGCACTCTGGACACGGTGGATTGAGAGTTAACGGGATGCACGTCATAAGCTGTTGTCGACTTGCCTCCTCTGCCACGCGCTTGCACTAACTTTGCCACAGTGTGTGTGTGTGTGTGTGTGTGTGTGTGTGTGTGTGGGGGGGGGCATATGAGGGTGATGCTAAGTGAAATGCTCATTTTGCGTTTGTGATTACCAGGGCCCATGGGCGATATGCACTAATGTGAGCTAATGCAATAGATTACACAGTGCTGGCCCAGGGGAACAGACAGCAAGCAGATGTGGTCGACTCAAAACGGGAGGAGGGACTGAAAAAAGGAAAATCTAAGTTTAAAGTGTTCAATGCGCTGAAGATTGTCTCTTGCAATTTGCTGTTTGCAGAAAGCGCCGCCACGATGGGTTCTGTCAGCCATCTCTGTTTATAGACAATAGTGCGCTCGTTGTCTCGCAAGATGTAGGAGGCTGTTAGCAAACTTCTCCCAGGAAGCTTTTTAAGGACTCACACGGAAACACAGCTCTGTTTGATACACACTCGCTATCTGTGATGTCATCACCAGGTGTGTTTGACAGCTGATGATAGGCCACACCTCTGGGATGTTTACAATTAAGGTGTGGCCACAAAGTGCAGGATTCACTTGACTTTAAATCAAAAATCTAAAATGAGCTGACATGCTCATTTTTATCTTGAGTGAAGAGGTGAACTTTATTTTTTTTTTAAATGATAGTAACTTATAAATCTTAGTTTTTTCCGCAAAAAGGCAAATATATTTTTGCAATTATCAATTATGTACTCTGTACTTCCACTATGAACAGTTTTATCATAACTAACAGCACAAAATATTGAAGATGCAAGGCTGTGAACACTAAGTCTGAAAAAGCTTTAATCTAGACTTTGCAAACACTGCCCTCTAGTGGCCGATCTGAGTTATTGATGGGAAAGAGGAATTTCACCTAAGCCAAATTCAACTACATTTTATTTTCATATTTCACACGTTTTTTTTTTAGTTCTTTATGCATTTATTAAGATACAGGGAAGTGGATATAGTCAGACAAAATTTGGGAGAGAGAGAGAGAGAGAGGAATGACATATGAGGTTGGATTCAAACCCACTTTGAGGACTACAGCCTCCATACACTGGGCATGCACACTAACCACTAGGCTACTGGCACCACAATGTGTTGATGTATTTAAGGTTATAGAGTTTCTTTCATTTCTTATTTCATCCATCCCCTTCTTGTCGTTCTTCCGAGTGGCTTGTTCTTAAAGTCCCTCGAGCTCTCTTACTGAACTCGGTAAATGAGCATTTTATTTTGAGGCCCCAAACATCCAGCAAAGTCTGAATATCGGAGTTCTTCCCTCTCTTCCAGAGTTTAGGATTTAGATTTCTAGTCACTTTGTTTCAAACTGTGACTGTTTTAAATGGATCTCAGTGGTCTTTGTCCACTAGTGTTTGTTGTGTTTTGCTTGTAATCTCGACGGCTTTGGAAATGAGGGAAACTTCAGTGTCCTTTTGAGAATAAATAAAGGTTTGAATTGAATTGAATTGTTCCAAGGTCTCATTTGTATTTTGTGCAAAGCTAAAGGCCTTCCTGCAAACTCTGTCTTTATTGAAATCACACTATAAACCCTCTTGTAATATCAGTCTGCGCTGATTCCATTTGTGCCTAGTCGCTCTGTTGAACTCTTTGTGTTGCAGAAACGTGGTCACTTTTTTTGGCTTTCAGTGTTTCATTGAGTTTGCTCAGATTTTTTGTTAAGTACTTCCTCGCAGTGTTTTAAGTGACCTACACACAAAGAAATTATTTACATTTACATTTGCTATCATCATTTATCACAGGTGTGAGGGTGATTCAGGTTACTGAAATTGTAGTTTTAGTGTGGAGATGCTGGAGGAGAATTACTCTGAAATGCATTTCACATCTTAAGGGCCCTTTACGAGAAAAGCTTGCATATTAAAGTTCACTGTTCATCTTATATGCAGCAGTTGACTCGGTCTGTTAAAACAATCTTAACTTTATCTGAACCTTTTCTTCTGGGGATCCAGAGCCCCCACTGTTCTACAATCTGCAATTAAAGCGGTCATTTGAGGTCGTCCCCTCGGAGCGAGTTCAAGAAACCAGGCTTCTGGGGTCTCGCTTTGAACCTCTGTGTCTCTCTTGGCCTCAGCACATTATAATATATGCACATAATATCGTTTTTAAAAATGAGGAGCGGAGGCTTGAGCATCAGCAAAAGTGTTCTCCCCACCTCCCTTTAGACGTTATGAACACGGATTAATCACCACTTTTAATACACATCTGATTATTGTCCTGTAGTCGAAAATCTTTTATCAACAAACAGCAATTAACATTTCTAATTTAAAAAACAACAACTTTTAAATTGCACCTGGTGGTACAGTCAAGCGGCTGCACGGTGGGGCAGTGGTTAGCCCTGTTGCCTCACAGCGAGGAGGCTCCTGGTTCAAATCTCCTGGTTCAAAGCCTCTCTGTGTGGAGAGAAGGCGTGTCCTGTACACCGTTTAAGTGAAACCAATAACTCGATAACTTTCCAATATCCAAAACGTTGCCAATGTATTTTTGCAGTTTTGACAGAGTTCTCGTTTTCCCTCTCGTCAGCTTTGGGTTATAAAATAAGACTGAAGTTCTGTCACTTTTTAGTTTGTATCATTTTAAAACACCTGGTGTTAAAGGAAATGTTCACACATTAAACTATCTCATGGAGTAGGTGTAGGACATCAAACTATTAACTCAGCTTGAGAAAGGTGCAGGAGTTTTTCTTTTCAAAACATCTGGTATTAAAAAGTATGTGAGCATCGAGAACATTGACAATCTTAAAAAAGAAAGGCGATTTTGTCAGACCAAGAATTAAAAACTATCTAATTATTTACATCCCACAACCTGCAGTGTGTTCAGTGCTCAGTGGATTAGTGTTGTAGTCAAGACCACACTAACCGAGACCAGGACATACCCGAGACCGAAGGCCGAGACATTTAGGGATGGAGACAGAGTCAAGACCAGGACCGTAAATATCCATGAAAAATCATCATCTTGTGTGCAGCGGGCGTCACCCACTTATACCTGAACACCGGGAAGGTTGCAGCCCTAACTCCAAACAAATTAAGAATGATTTAAAATGATTTGTTCTTTTAGAAAGGGGCGGTTTCCTTCTTATCACAGTAATGACTTTAAGTGGTTGTCTCGACCAGTCTTGATTTAAAAATTGGAGTCTGCCTAGTCCAAGACCAGGTAAAAATGCTTTTGATTCCGAGAAGAGCCCTTCAAAAAGTGCACTTGAGACCGGTCTTTTGAGTCCTACAACACTGCGCTGGATTGTGAATGACCATGGAGTGTTAAAGAATACCACAGAGCTGTTCGCCTCTCACTTTATTATTGAAATGTGTAATACAAATCTCAAACAATATTTTTCATTTTTACATAAGTACACATGTGGGTTACTAACCAAACAACGACAACAAAAAGAAATAACTTAAACCAAAGGCTTTCAAAGTGGCAACAATTCAAAAATGACAAAAGAAGACTAACTAAGCTGATAAATGAGTTCACCTGAGACTCTGTTCACAGTGTAGAATTCAATCCAGACATCCATCGACATAGCTGCTGTTACATTTTCATTCTGTCTAAACTACACAGTCAAACGAGAGCAGTGGATGAAACGACACTTTTAAAGGCTCAACGTTAGCAAACTGCTGACTGTGCAGTTCAGAGAACACAGCCATGAGCATTTCACACACAAACAGAACCTCGTACAGCTGATGGATCTGAGGTACCAACTAAAGCAGATGATAACCGTTTGCCATTTTTAAGAAGACAAATAACAACCTGAACAAAATCTGTTCTGTGTTTAAAACTGGGCTCGTAAATATAGAGCATATCAAAGAAATCCACCAGAAGAATTGTGTTACAGTTAATCACATGCCACAGGTCGGTTCGGCCCGGCCGCAGCAGTAGTTGTTCCGTCACCAGATGTGTGTGTGTGTGTTTTGTGCGGCTGCCTGATGAACACATGTCCATCTAGTCACACTCCAACTCAAAACATGTGGCTCTGCTCGGTACAGAGGCCCAGCTGACATGATAGCTACAGCAGCTTTTTAAAAAAATGAAAATAACAGTGTCGAGAGCACAACATGAGGTAGACCACTTCAACATACACAGGACTCTTTTTTTTTTTTTTTCTGTGGCCCGAAGCCGTCAAGTTATTCCAAAAAAATTCCCACACACACCCCTCAGTGTCTTGGAAAAAAAAAAAGGGAAAAGTAAAAGAGAAAAGTTCTAAACTGCTGCATGGACATCAACAGGAAGTGAACTGGGCAGCAGCAGCAGCTTTTTTTTTTTTTTTTCTTTTCACAAAAATTATAATTCATACATTTTTATTCAATAGAATTTTATGTACTGAACGCTTAAGAGATATACTAACCCTACCCCAAATACAAAACTTTGCTGTTATGTCATAGACATGTACAGAGTCTGGATCAGATATGGATGAACTAACAGAATGAAAAGGGAGAAAACATCACAGTGCACACCCGTGGAAATATATCTTTTAGGAAACTTTACCTGCACTGGTTTTTTTTTTTAAACAAAAGAAAAAAATATCTTAAAGGCCTCTGCCCTGAAATGTTTATGCAGCACAGTTTTCCTTGACTGGAAAAAAAAACAATATATATCAAATTAAGGGAGCCAGGGCCCTTTTTTCAGCACAAACCATCCCTCCTAAATGTTTATCTTAAACTTATATTCCAAGAAGTTGTCCAAATAAGGTAGCAGCAAAGTTCAAATCTAAAGAGAGGAGAAGAAATACTTAATGTTTGTCAAATATGAAACATGTATGTCAAGATCCACACAGACGATTTTAAGATTCTGGTCTGGGACTTTTCAGAGTGGTTTTCTTTTTTTTTTTACCTTGGTGCCCACTCTAGTTACTTTTGTCAGTGGTCCCATAGCGTTGGTTAGCGAAGGGGCCTGAGGGGTCTCTCCTCTGCAGGTTGGGCAGAGTGGGTAAGTGTTGGTACAGCACAGTTCTGCCCCCTGAGAAACAAAATCTTTAATGTTAACTCTACAGACTGCTTGAATGTGCAGATTCAAAATGACCCACTTTGATCATCGGTTATTAAGACAACCAGAACTTGAAACTTTGATATGATGCAGAAACAAAAATGAAAGTCCTAGGCATCCAATATTTGGTCTTTTCTTTCTTATTTTTATCATCAAAAACTGCAGACAATCTCCTGCACACTGTCTAAATTGCACTAACAAACAAACAATTGCAACATATGTGTGCAATTTAGACGATGTGATTCACCTGTCTTAGGAAATAGATGTAGCTTTTAAAATGTTTTTCGATACCAGCGATCATTAAAGTAATAGATACTGTGTTGTTTAAAATCGCATGGTATCGAAAATGATCTGAAATGTCTACATGCCTTTGCTGAAGCAGCTACTCTTAACACATACCTGCTCTTGGGTTGGTCAGGCCTCCGTGATTGGGGTTGGCAGGTGTGCTGTGATAGAGAGACGCCAGGTCATTGGGCGTGTACGAGCGCAGGAGGTTCATCATGCTCCAATCAGAGTCCAGACCTCCTCCAATCGCTGCAGAGGATGTTTTCAAAGTGTCAGACAGCGAAGGCGTGCTCTGCCCCTGCGACGTGCTCTTCACACTCCTCCCTGAGAGGAGCAGCCTGCTGGATGCGTCCGATGTTGATCCTCTAAATCCCGGCTTCTCGCTCGTCTCCGCTTCCCGTCCCGTAGGCACCACATACTTTAACTTCTTGCTGGAGGGTTCACCAAAATCCATCTGCGGGAGCCTCCCGAAACGGCTTGAAAGGCACAGTCTGGCATCCGATTGCCAAATGACGCCGCTCCTCGCCGGGTAGCTCCGCTCGCCGATTCCCACTCTCTCTGGGGGGGCCGGGTGGTCCAGGACATGTTTGGTAGCCGTGTTTGATTTCCTCATGAGCTCTGTGAACCTTGTCGAGTCCTGACTGGGATGTGAATTAAGTCTGAAGACGATGGCTCTCCTGGGTGACATCATGTGAGGGTGCATGAATTGGGGATCGCTTGGGGGCGTGCGGCAGGTTAATCGGCGCCTTTTCTTGCGGTTTAGCAGGTTGAGGGGGCGGGGACTTTGTCCGACGAGGATGCGGCCGATCTATCATCGGCAGCGGGGTGACATCCTTCCCTTCAAGTGCAGGAGGACAACCTGTGTAACGCTTTTGTTTCACACTTCCTCCAAATCCGTTCTTTTTCGCACAGTCCGACTTGTCTTTGTGCGTCAGCTTTTTGTGCATTATCAGAACTTCAGGGTACATGGTTTTATACGCACAAAACGAACAGGCGATTGGAGTTAATGCAATTCTTGGTTCTGCACCGGCTGAGATGGAGAGAGACACTTTTAAGGACAGATTTAATGGGGCCTCAGAGTTCTCGTCTTTTATTTCCTCCCTCTCCATCTTCAGGTTAACAGGTACGGGGCACTTTACGACCACATCATCAATCGGGGAGTAAGCGGACTTTGCAATTAATTTCTCATACTCAGCATTCATCTGGATGAGCGGTTTGCTCAGCTTGCAGCCCATGTTGTCAAATCTGTCCTTTGGCATTCCACTGGAGCCCGGTCTGGCTGCAGGAACCCAGAGTTTGGATCTATTTGGAGCTGGATTCTCATGGTCAGGTTTCACATCATTTGGAGAGGACGCTAAAGGAACCGGTCTGCTGGGAATTTCTACATAAGGTTTATCCTTGTGGCGGCGATCCAGGTGATACTTCAGAGAGGTTTTCTGGGCTGCAGCGTAATCACAATAAGCACACTTGAACGGTTTTTCACCTGAAATTAAAAAAAAAAAAAACAGTAATGTTTAAGGGAATTTTTAAAAAGTGACAGACTCAACCTGCTGTGAGTTAATAATTCAAGCTAAGCGCGTTTCATTTACCTGTGTGTGTCCTCAGGTGAACTGTGAGGTAATAGCTTGATCTGAATGATTTCCCACAGTAGCTGCATGCTTTCGATCGGACTTTTGAACGGTCAAATCCATCTTCACCTTTAAAACAAAAATAGACATGAAATGTTTAAGACAAAAACAAAAATCAGAAAAGGCATTTGTTATTTTTAAAAATGCAAAAGGAGGAGCGCTTTTTGCACCCCCAGAAAGTTTAAGTTTCAGGTTCTCTTTGGATCAGGATACATAGAGTCAAAAATCTTAGACACTGTCTTAAAAATAATCGAAATTCCTTCATTGTTAGGAAGTGACACAGATCTAACTCAACGACATGAAACATCTAGGATTTCGTTTTAAGGTCTCCATGCCCGTGACAGTGAAGGCATTTTAAATTGTTTATAAGAGAAAGAGAGGGTGCCAGGGAGTTTGTCTTTTGATTAAAGCAGTTGTTATGCTCCCTCCTGTCAGCAGAGGGAGCACTTGGTAACAGAGTCATTTGCATTCCACAAATCAAGACAGCATGTGTGAAGCTTGAAAGATCCCAAAAATGTTACCTGGACCCAGGTTTTCAGTCAAAGCCGCCTCCTCAAATCCCTCCTCGGAGCCTTCCTCTGCGTTTTCAAGCGAGTTCACCCTCGACAACTTCCCCTCCAAAGAAGAGGTCGGACTCTCTTCCCCTCCTCTCTCGCGTTTGTGGACCCTGGAGTGGAGGACTAACTGGTGGTAGGTCCTGAAGGTTCTCTGACATTCCTCGCACGTTGTCGGCCTCTCTTTATCTTTTTGCATCAGAGACCTCCTCTGTGGTTGGGGGTTTTCTGCTGCAGTCTGCGTCTGAGACCGGAGCTCTCTTCCAAGTACCTCTTTTGTGGCTTTGTCTCCTTGTCCCTCCGTCCAAATATTATTCAACTCCTCCTTATCCGAGCCGCATTCTTCGTTGTCTGTGCTGGCTTCCTGGCCCAGATCTTTAGTCGTATTAGGGCCCACTGCTATCTTGCCTTTTGTTGCAAGTTGCCAGGCCTGATATGTGTTGAAGGGATCCAGCTGAGGGATCCATTTTGATGATCTCTCTTCTAGCAAACTTTTTCCTGCAGGGTGAGACCTAAGTCCTAGACTCTGAAGAAAGGATTCTTGTTTTTGAGGGGGTTCAGTAGTGTCATCCATGCTCTCCTTGTCTTTATCTTTCCCCGGCTCCACCTCTCGATTGTGCACTTTACTATGTTCAACTAAACTGTCGTGGTCAGGGAAGAAAAACCCACAAACCATGCACATTTTGTAAACAGTGACTACGGCTTCTGGTGCTTGCTCCTGGACGACATCATTGACCGTGACAGGGGTGTCCAGGTCTTGCTGGGCCTTGCTCTTGACTCCTGGTTTCACATGCATTTTCATGTGGTTCTTGAGGAACCAGGGCTCTCTAAACCTCCGCCCACACACATTGCAGCAGTAAGTAAAATAGTCTTTGTGCTTCCTCATGTGGGTCTCCAGCTCACTGGCGTCTTGTGAAACCTGACCACACACAATACAGCTGTGAACCTCCTCTTTCTCAACAGGGAGGGTGCTGGGTTTGGGCCGGGGTCTCTCTCCTGGGATCCTGAACTCGGCTTCGACTCGGAGCACGGTTGGTTCAAAAAAAGTGGTGGGGTGCTGCGTAAGTACGTGGGGTCCCAGCTCATCCTGATGGGCAAAGGTCAGGTCACAAAACATACAAGATACTGATACACTTCCTCCGGATTGCAACACAGCCTTTTCAGAGTAGGTGGCGTGTGGCGTCATGCTGGAGCCAGGCCCCGGGATGTTTGCATTGTTACTAATAAGAATATCTTGAGCAAGGCCATCTGGGCTCTCCACAAACGGCAGTGATGAGTGAGTCGGCATTGTCGTCTTCTGGTGGAAAAAAACAACGCTCTATGCACTGTCCAGAATGTTAGGAACCTAGAAACAAAGAAAAAAAAAGTCTTTAGAAACTAAATAGTATGACAGGATCAGGCAACGTTACAGGAGAACAAATCTGTTTAAAATACAACCACACAGAGAGAAATTGGGCTCCTTTAAACTGAAACAGGAAATGTATCTTTTAGGCAATCAACTACACAGACGACTCATTTCCTGTGTCCAACGATAAGATGTAAAGAAACTGTACACAGATTATTTACTAAGGTGCACACCTTAGTATGCATGTCAAACTTAGTTTGTGAGTCATCTAAAGAACTTTGTAGACTTAACACAATCAAAGTCACTTTTAACTGTAAACGTGAGCTCCAGTCTGAAACAACTGAAGAGAGACTCATTTGGAAACTTCATCGTTTCAGTTCAGAGTGAATGATGACTAGCTGCAGAAAAATTTGACAAGGTACTGCAGTCCAGGTCAACATACTGTAAAAAGCATTATTCTGGATAAAAACAACCTTTTCTTTCTATTTTACACTAATAATTACATTTACAATTTGAGATTTGTTGAATGGTCTCAGTTTGGTTTGCACTAAACAACATCACACAAATTAAAACAACTGAGAAATGAAACCTGTTCTTGGTGTTATAGTAGCGGTTTTAATGTTATAGTAGTAACATTTTTTTAAACTTCCTTGTTGACTCGCACACATTCATAAGGCATGCTGCGTATGAATGTTTGTTTTCCATTGGGGGGGGGGGGGCTACCTCCTTGTGGTTTTGTCATAGTAGTTCTTTCCACGTATAGTAACTGACTGCTTATATAGAGGTGACTGGCACAAAAGTGGAGAGACAGGACCAGCGAGTTCAAAAGCTCAAGGCTAAAGCAGGTGAAGACTGGGACAACAGAAAAATATAAAGCAGCCCATTGTCACATAACAGTGTTTTGTTTTTACATATTTTAACAACATTAACTTTACATGTCCTGTACAGATATTTTCAATGATTCTTTAGCATCCCTCATCCTAACAATTAAATACTTTTATATTTTTTTACTTTGTTCCCATTTAGTAAGTATAGATAACTTTTCTTTAATGCATTTCAAGTAAATATTGTGACAACAGTAAATCACATAAAGGCTGCTCTATCACATTTAAATATCTATAGCTTCATGCTTTCGGGGTTGCTGCACACTTAAGACTTTTTAAGACCCAAACAAAGAAAAAAATAACATTTTTGCTTCATACTTTAAGGATTCCATATAAGACTAAATGTTATCCTACATTTAAAAGCTTTTTTTTTGCATATCTTGCAACCCTTCCCAGTATTTTTTCATCTTAAAGCCAGATTTCCTTAAACTTGCATTTCCTTCTTTCTTCCATTATGATCATGTGAATGCTTACTTAATAATACACTGACATAGATTCTGCCTGTAATGGCTGTACAAGCAAACCCAAAGAGGAAAACATTTTTACGCTAATCAAACAGTGTAAATAAGACATGACTCAGTCAAGTGACATCTTAAATTTAAGAGCTCTCACACGTCAAAGTAAGACTTTTTAGGATATTTTATGACCTTGAGTTATACAAATCTTATTCAAGACTTTAAAAGACTATTTAAGGACCTGTTTTTTATTACTTTAAGACATTATTTAATATGAATACATCTACATAATGCTACTACTTTTATGCCTACCATATTTCAGCCACTGCCTCTCTTCCAATCTAGCACAACCTTTTATTGTGTACATAACTATAAATATATATGACCAAGGTACTGCTGTACAGGATTACTGCCAAAAAAGTTTAATTGTGTTCCTAAATACAATAAAACGCCTATTTATTTATCTATCTATCTATTTATCTATCTGTATTTATGCAACCTTCAAAACACACCTCAAACAGTGGATAAAAGTAAACCAAGTCTGTGACCACCTTTAACCTTTAACCTCTATTACTGTCTTGTGTCACTTGTGCCTTTGTGTTTGTATTTCTCTGTTACCTGCCTAGAGACAACAGATGGAAACTCGCACTTCTGCTATGATCTGGCATCTTTTACAGCTGTTCATTAATATGCCTGTCCCAAACAAACAAACAAACAAACAAATCTATCTACTAACTACAGGCATGATGTTGATACAGGGGAAATCCCAACTTTCACTTTGTAATTTCCCAGATAAAATCTCAACTATTCTCTCCAATAATGTAGCTTAACATATTTAACATGGGACCAAATTGTTATTTACTGTTTAATATATATAATTACTTTGCCAGGTAGAACTTTTAACTGAACCCAGGTGAGCTGCAGCTTCACTGTGGACGATAATGAGGCGCTGTGTGTGTGTGTGTGTGTGTGTGTGTGAGTGTGTGTGTCCTTAAAGCACATGCATGCTTTGTGTGAGGCAGCGTTTACGTTAACCACCTTGTTATGGCACTAAACCACAAAAAAAAAAAAAAAACACAACCCATAAACGTTAACTAAAGGAAGGACGCTCTTAAATCACCAGTTTAGACGGATAGAAAAACAAACAAACGACGTAAACTCCACCAAAGTTTGTGTTGCGTGTGCTATTACATTTCTATGTGTGCATAATAAGCAGAACACGAGGAGTCGGTGTCTTTTCTTACCGATACAAATCTCCATTATCGATCTTTGTTAACGATGTTTCAGTCGGTTAACTCTTCATTGGGGGGGTCGCTTTAAATCACAAGAAGTCAGTTAACGTTACAAATCGAGTAGAAGCATGTTCCCATAGTTATTCGTATAACAACCAGATTTGGCGTAAAAAAAATCACCATCAACCACCCAGCTGGGTTTCTTTACTTTGTCTTATTAGTTTAACGCCGGTTTAAAGTTAACTAACCGGAAAACGTCGCCAACTTTGTGGTTAAACGTTAGAAAACGACACCTTCTGTTGTCTCGACTCAACTGTAGAAACTCACCAAACAATACCTACCAAACTGAGAGTTTCCGGATTAATAATGACACTGACAGTGCCGAGCGGCTGAGTTCAGTGAGCTCGCTGCTGTTTTAGTTCTTTCTTCATTTCGCACAAAACGCGTTGTTGTTGTTTCTGCTGCTGGCACGACAAGCTCACCTAGTCAATTTGTTTGAATGTTGAATCTCATATTTGTTCGAGTCCTCACTGTGCAGCTGTTGAGTTCTGAGGCAACCCCCCCCTCTCTGTCTCTCTCTCTCTCTCTCTCTCTCTCTCCTCTCCTCTCCCCCCTCCCAAAACGAAAAAACCCTAAACCACGCATAGGGTGATCACGTGTTTATGAAAAACAGAAAGGGATTAGCAGCACGAATAACCTAAAAACACTACAATAAGATAATGAGGTTTCATTATTTTTCGAATAAAAAAAAACTTTATTGACGCAATTTGATTTACCACTCATTTTTAAGATCAGTAAAGCGAATGGGGAACCAACTAATAATATACAAAACATAAAGGATAAAGGGGTAAATACATGAACTAAACTAACTAGTTTTTACAGCTTTAGATATGTTTGTTGTTGTTGCAATAGGGTTAGGTTTCTGTTGTGAAAAAATGCAAGCATGTGTATAGGCCTAAGGGTTTTGATAGTAAAACAAAACTAGCATTTTCATCACCCATTTGGTTGGAATGAGTAAGAACCCACACAGATATGTTACTCATCGTTTTAAACACTTAAATAGTCTAATTATCGGGTTTTTTTAAATTGATTTGAATAGATTATAAAAACCTGTTGGGGAGGGAAAAAAAGTTTTACTTTTTATGTTTTAGTGAAACCCCCAAAAAGGTGAGTTATCAATGCAGATATGATTTTTTTAAGACATATTATTATTCAGTATAAGATGTAAATCTTAGGTATTTCATCACGGTTATATGAGAAAGCTTTAGGACTATGTAAATTAGGCTATTATTCCATTTATTGTAAAGTCTTTTATAATGAAAGTCTTTGTTCACGTAGTTTTCCTGTTTGATAAAACGGAATTGAACGTGTTGATTAGACTTACATAAAAAAAACACCAACACCGTTTGATGTTATTGATGAATTGATCGAGGCCTCTTTAAATCTTCTTCTTCTTCCACGCTCTCACGTCATGCATCAGCCACCATGTGGATGTTGGGGGAGGGGTGCCACCAAGTTTTTTTTTTCACAGTAACGTGAAGGTTTTTTTTGCAGAAGCAGGTTGGTTGACAAACGACATTTTTTTTCCCTCTTTCTCTTTCACAACGTAAAAACGTGGCCCATGGGTTTTTTTAAATACACAATTCGATAATATTCTTCACCTTAAAGACCACAACATGCTGCTGTGACAGGCAAATGTTTGATCTTGAAAGGAGGGGGAGGTTTTCTATAGCCCATTATGATAGTAAATGACAAAAAGAAACATACAAAACTATACCACAATAGGGCTAAAGGTAACACAAAGTAGTAAAATATCATATGTATTGTCACTGTAGACCCTTTAAGAAAGAAAGAGTGATTATTGTGGGAGGAAGATCATCACCTACAGTAGCACCCTAATGTGAAGTTAAACAACAGCCCCTCCTCCACCCTTAAACCCTTCTGAAGAGACACTATTCAGTGATGGTAGCTCAAAGCCATACATTAATACCATCAATGAATGACATTCAGTCAGATTCAGTGTATTGAAACATACACATGATCTTATCTTCTCTCCCTGAATGGAAGCAATGTCTAAAAGAGGTTTTTTTTAATCAGTTTCCACTCCCTGCTAAGGAACAGTGGACAAAGACTGGGCGACTCCTTTTGCCTTAACATTCTTCCTAAAGTTAAACTTGGGTTGTTGCTTTTATTCTCCCTGTTGTAAGCTCTTAGACTTTTCTTTCTGTGCCCTCTTTAATGTTGTTTTGGAAATCCTTAATTGTGTCACCAAACAGGTCAGACCAATCCAGCAATCTTTATTTAAGTGAGATGAGTAGATCTGCAGGTTTGGCAAGCATACTCCTCAAAACGTTTTTTTTTTATCGTAATGATCATTGTGTACATGTAGAACAATAATTACAAATCATATCAAATTAGGACTTAGTAGATAATAGTGTACATATAATAAAGTGTGGGGTTTCCCCTGCATTTGCATGATTAAAAGTCAATCACTTAAATGTGCTGCCCCTAAATCTAAACATTTTAATTTTCCCCCACTCGCAATAGTGTGAATCAGATTTTGGGTATTCTTCCTTCACCCTGAGATCCTGTTACACAAACAGGTCTAGTATGTTAATCAAAGGCACCACATGTGACACATCGAGGCCTCCCGCTCATTTCCTTTTGTTCTGCGGCCACAAAGGCTCCGTGAAAGGCGATCAATCTGCAGGAGCAGTGTGATGCCTCAGAATGATGAGATTACACAAAAAAAATAAGAACATGTGAGCAGGAGTGGGAGAAGTTACTCACAGAAGAAAGTAAAAGTAGCAACATGAATCTGGAAAATTTGACCTTTTGCAAAAAGGGCTTTAATAGCAAGATATTTTGGGCAAAAGCTCACACGTATTACTTATCAGTTGTGCTCAAAGTAGACTTAATGCAGAATTTGAATAGGGGAAAAAAGTGCAGAAATAAGAAATATAATTTTTACATCATGAGTGAAATATTATAACTGATGACTTAACTTGTATGCCGCATTTAAGTCCAGCTTTCTTTATATAGCACCCAGTCACAATGTGCTTAACAATTAAAAGCAATCAAACAAATCATACAGTGAGAAAATGTACATAAATAAATCACAAAGTCAAACAAGGCAAAGTTAAGATCAGGAAAACACACAAAAAAAAGGTTTTGGGTCTTACATGAAGGCTTGTCTGTAAAGGTGAGTATTTAGATGCTTCTTGAAACAGTTCAAAGATTCTGCAGATCTGATTGTTTGTGCGAGCTGATTCCAGAGAGTGGGGGGCTAAAGACAAAGATAAAGATAAACTTTATTGATCCCCCGTGGGAGAAATTTGTGCATTACAGCAGCTCCAGAAAAACAGGGGACTGGAATATACTTATAAAAAATAAAAATAGAAGTTAAGAAACAGATCAAACATATTTACGTCATTTAAATAAAAATAAAAAATACAAAAATGGAAACAAATACAATAATGTAAATGTGAAATTACACAATACAATACAATGATGTAAAAAAATACAATAATGTAAAAAAAAATACAATAATGTAAATGTAAAATTACACAGTAACTTGTTATTGACAAAACACACACAGTGTGTAGCATGAGGTGGTGATGTTGTTAAAGAGTCTGATTAAACAGTCTGACGGCAGATGGGATGAACGACCTGCGGTATCGCTCTGTCTTGCAGGGTGGGTGTCTGAGTCTGCTGCTGAAGGAGCTGCTCAGGGCCCCCACAGGGTCAAAAGCGTCAAAAGCAGTTGTAGTTGGAGCGTGTGGATGGAAAGGATGCTGAGATAAGATGATCTGAGAGGTGGTGGAGATGGCACACATGTTGACTTCTTTATATACTTTTATATAGTTAAACCTTTGCACAGCAATATGTCGGAAATGAAAAGTATCACAGGTTTTATTTGTAACTTTTTCTATAGCTCTGTGATTTATTTTGTGACATAAAAAGGGAAATATTGTGCTTAATATTTATAGAAGAAAGTAACAGAAGAAATACTGTATTGAGACTTTAACGTTTTGACGTTTTGGTAGAGACTTTTGAAAGTTGGAGAAATATACAGATTCTGTGGTATTTGTTCATAACTCTATACACAAACTGTCCTCAGAGGAAAATTTGGTCCCTGAAACACTGAAGATAAAATGCTAGGCGAGATGTTATGGTGGTGGGATCACAACAGTGAAACCCTATCTCTCCTGGTAGCGTTTAGCTCCAGTCCAGGGACCCATTGTTTTCTTTGAGTGAAGTTTGTGTTTTCAGTTCAGAAACTGTAGCATGGAATTGTTTCAATTCTCCAACTTTTAATTTTCACTATAAATTTCCATAGTGCACCTTTAAAGTACCTCAGATTTGTACTTAAAGGGGACATATTATACAAAATCCACTTTTACAGTGTTTTTGAACATATATTTGGGTAACCTGAGTGTCTACTGAGACACACACACTAAAACAGAGTGTTCTGAGAGAGCTGGTTTATACACGGTCACAAACCTCCTCTGGGGACTGTTTGAAAAGGTGGAAAAGGGGGATAACATGTCCTCTTTAGTTAAAACATAACATGATATCACCTTCAACATTATCCATATCTAGGTGGAAATCACAAGTATTCCTTTTACTGCTGTTACTGAATCTCCATCCTGTGTGACAGCAACAAGTGGGCAAACATTGTTTACTTCCAACTGATTTCATTAACTTCGTCCCATTGTTGTATTTATGCTAATTTAATTTCTCCTCCAAAAATCCTGCATCCTCCTCAATGCCTCGGATTGTTCCTTTAAAAAATATCATACGTATGTCTGCAGTCAGTGACTTCTAATTAAAGACCAAGTTTCAAAAAATCCAACTCCTGAGTGGATGATAATGTATGCAGGAGACAGACAGCCTGATAGGAACAGGATGGGCGGATGGGGAAAGACTTCTTTTTGTCCTGACGTGTCAGGAGCAGCTGACTGCATTGTTCTCCTGCAGATTCACAGCCTGCTTTCTTTCATAATCCCAGTGTCGCTCCTGAGGCACACACACTGATAATATATAATCTCCTTTTCTCACCACGAGACGGTTATGTTTATTCAGTGCAACCAGCTGTTGTGTTGTTGATCACCAGAGACATTTTATCAGTCACAGAAAGAATGACCTTAACTGCTTCTGCACAAGTTTGAAATATTTTGGGTTTAAGAGAATGCAGCGGGCTTCTGTCAGTGCAAGTCTCTCTATATGATGTTTTTATGTTGTTGCTTCTTTAGGCTAAATTCCTCAGTGACTTAAATAACTCAATATCAAATTACCAAATTACCTGGGTGAAATTACAACTCATAACACGACAAGAACAAGAAATACAGACATTAAAAAAAGAAACAATTTGTTTTTCCTTCATTTTTTTTTTTTTTTTTGCGATGTGTTTAATGTGAAAATTCAGATTGCGATAACAATGAAATTGCGATTCATTGTGCAGCCCTGGTATAGTGCACTCTAAGTCAGTAGTTGGGACTTTCACCTCATGCCTAACCTTATTTCTTTTTTTCTTTTTTTCTTCTTCTTTTTATTGGTTTGCACAGATGATAAGAA